ATACCATTGGTTCTTGATTATAGGCCACTTCCTGAAATGGATGAACCTTGACCAATTCTTTTTGGTACAGTGACTCTGTGTGTTCTTTCCATCTTCTTTTGATGTTTCCTGCATCATTCAATATTTTTCCCAGAGAATTTTTCAATATTGCAATTCGAGGCTTAAATTTTTTCCTCAGCTCTTTCAGCTTGAGAAATGCTGAGCATGTTCTTCCTTTTAGTTTTCTAACTCCAGGTCTGCCAAAGAGGCAAGGAGGCCGCATCTTCTGACCTCCTCTAATCCCACAAGAGGAAGACAGAATCACCATCAGTAGCCCGAGATCTATTCCTGTGAAGCCAGACATGCTGCCTCCCTCCAGCCCTTGCACCAACCATTCCTCCCGTAACACCCACCACTTCTCTGCTAGGTTTGATAATTCACTGCAGTGGCTACACAGAACTCACAGATTATGGAGTTTAATAGGGAAGCACCAGACTACAATTCAAGTTCAGGAACAATGCTCAGTCTTTCTCAGCCCACTGTCTCTCAGCCAACAGTCTCTCACAGTCTCTCTCTCTCAGCAGTGCGTGTCTCTCGGTGTCTCTCTCAGCAATGCATGTCTCTTGTGTCTCTTTCTCAGCAGCGTGTCTCTCTCTCGAGGGCGATTCTCTCAGGAGCGCATTTCTCTCAGCCAGTAGTCAAAGAGACTTCTGCCTCTAGGAGGCCTCCTTTGGAGCCTAGCAGAGTGGCCAAACTAGCCAATCATAACATCAGAATTCTAAGCACCTGAGAGACAGCGAACTTCCCAGAACATTGCTTTGTGCCACTCTTCAACAGATATATCCCAGGTGAATAACTTTAATAAACAGGAGCTCCTCAGTTGCTCACAGCAAATTCCACCACAGAGTTTACAAACACTTATGGCTAGAAAAGCCATACCATATAATGTACTACACTGTGAGGTCTTTGCATATTTCATTATACTCATTGGCTCTGTCTTCTTGAGCTGCTCTTTGAAATCTTCTGTTCAGCTCTTTTACCTTGTCATTTCTTCCATTTGCTTTACCTACTCTCTGCTCAAGGGCAAGAAGAGTCTCTTCTGACAGCCATTTTGGTCTTCTCTTCCTTTCTTGTCTTTTTAATGACCTCTTGCTTTCTTCATGATGTTCTTCATGTCATCCCACAATTCTTCTGGTTTTTGATCACTGGTTTTTGACCATTCTTCAAATGGTCTCTAAATTCAGGAGGGATATTATCAAGGTCATATTTTGGCTCTCATGGACTTGTTTGGTCTTTAATTTCAACTTGAATGTGCAAACGAGCAGTTGATGGTCTGTTCCACAATCAGCTCCTGGCCTTGTTTTGGCCAAAGATTCTGAACTTCTCCATCGCCTCTTGCCACAGGTGTAGTCAATCTGACTCCTGTGTATTCCATCTGGTGAAGCCCACATAAGCTTTCGCTTATGTTGTTGAAAAAGGTATTTGCAATGAATAGGTCATTGGTCTTGCAAAATTCTATCATGTGATCTCCAGCGCTATTTCTATCACCAAGGCCACATTTTCCAACTACCGGTAACTCTTCTTTGTTTCCAACTTTTGCATTCCAGTCACCAGTGATAATCAACACATCTTGATTGCATGTTCAGTCATTTTCAGACTGCACAAGTTGGTAGAAATCTTCAGTATCCTCATCTTTGGCTTTGGTGGGTAGTGCATAGATTTGAATAATAGTAGTATTAACTGGTCTTCCTTGTATGCATGTGGATACTATCCTATCACTGATAGCGCTGTACTTCAGGACAGATCCTGAAAATAGTCTCTGTGATGATGAATGCCACACCATTACTATTCAATTTGTCATTCTCAGCATAGTAGATCATATGGTTTTCTGATTCAAAATGGCCAAAACCAGTCCATTTCAGCTCGTTAATGCCTAGGATATCAATTTTTAAGCATTCCATTTCATTTCTGACAACTTCCAATCTGCCTAGATTCATATTTTGTACATGCCATGTTCCAATTATTAACGGATGTTTGCATCTGTTTCTAATCATTTTGAGTTGTGCCACATCAGCCAAGAGAGGTCCCGAAAGCTTTGCTCTATCCATATCATTAAGGTTGTCTCTACTCTGAGGAGTCAGCTCTTCTCCAGTCAAATTTTGAGTACCTTCTGACCTGATGGGCTTATCTTCTGAAACCATGTCAGACAATGCTTCAGGGCTATTCACAAAGTATTCCAGTAATATATCAGACAGTGTTTCACTGCTATTCATAAGGTTTACACTGGTCAATTCCTTGAGAAGTGGATGGCGTCTTCCTTCTTCCGAGTCTTAGTCTGTGAGCTCTGCTGAAACCTGTCCACCATGGATAACCCTGCTGGCATTCTGCAGCACTGGTTGCACAGTCTGCAGCCCCACAGCAGCATGTAAGCCACCACAGTATGATAAACTGACAGACAAGTTCATGTCCCTTAGTTGTTTTTAACCCTTGTGCACCTGTCTACATCAGGTCCCAGCTTTAAAATAGAGCTGCCCCTAAGCAAAAAGCAGGCCCTGAGCCCTGAGTTACAGAGTGGGCTGTTAGCTGTCCTATTAAGAGATTGTGTCATTCCTCCGGTTTTTGGTGGTAAAATGTTTTAATTTATAAAATAGTAATAAATTATGGTTTGGGCTTTAAAAGAAAAAATGCTTACTTGCCTAAATAAAAAGCTGTAAGCTCTATGTGACTTCCCAAAATTCTTGAAGAAATTAATAATTTTACTGGCCAGTGCAATCCAACAGCCTAGACACTATTGTTTTAATCCCTGGAGAAATGTTTACCCTGAAGCAGTAGAGACTAGAAAGAGATATTATAACTCTATTTCAACTATCTGAATATATGGCATATAGAAGCAGAAGAAAACTGGACAGATACTTGTACACAAAAGAAAACTCTAATTAGATAGGCAGAAGTCATAGAAGGGCAGTACAAATTTTAAAAATGTTTTATTGAAATATTAAATACGTGTTTGCCCCTAGTAAAAATACACTGCTTCAGAAGGCAAAAATTGACTCTACCACTGGATGTATTATTGGGCAGAGATATAGGATTATTATTTTAGAATTATTATAGTATATAAAGTGTCTGATTAGATGATTTCTCAACTCCTTTCAGCTTTAAATTCTATAACTGTCTGGAATCCAGTAAGAGCTAATGATATCTCTATCTTTCCTCTATGTTCAAAACACTTCATATATAATCTGTTATAATGACAATACATTAAAATTTATATTTCCAGTAGAATTGTGACCCATCTGTAATGGAATTCACACTGACCTAGAGAGTAAATTACATTGAACTAGTGTTTTCAAGTTGAAGTCTAATCTCTTTTTTAACAGTAAACTTCCCTATTCTACCTCTCCCCATCTTGCAGAATTCCCTAAACAGAATTTTAAATTAGCTCCTGACATTTGATGATACCAAATTCTTGGCTTAAATTGAACTTCAGTTTCAACCAACCTCAGAATGCAGTAACAAATGTTTTGTTTTTCTCTAAATAAACTTCCTTTATAAAATGCCAGAAGGTAGGATCACGGTTTTCATATCTAACAAATACTTTGGCTCTACCACTGAACAACAATAAGCCCCAGCATAAGCTACTAAACTTTTCTCTTTCAGTTTCTTAACCTATAAAATTGGGATAGGACAATATAGGGAAGCTGTGAGAACAAGAGAATATACATACTTCTCACTTACAGACTACCTCATTATCTGACATTTACAACAATACTAAAAAATCTACTATCTGATTATTTTGTGCATTAATGGTATGTTTGGCAGTAAATGCTAAGGTGTAAGGTAAGAGTAACACTGGCTGTGACAGTTAAGGTTAAATGTCAACTTGGCCATAAATCTCAATGCTTTGGCAGTTATGTAATGATGAAATCTGGCAGTTATTTAATAATGTAATTTGACACTTATGATGTAATATGGCAGTTATGTAATAATGTGGTCATGCTCCTTTTCTGATCTAATGTGTTCATCCTCCATTTTTACATAACACAGATTTCTGCAGGAAACCTGGTCTTTGAAACTTAACCATGTCAACAAATGAGGAGTAGGTATATATACAAAATACCTTGCACAGTTCCAGATATATTTTAAGTGGTCAATAATGATACCTATCATTATGGTTGCTGTCATTGTTAAATGCTTCTAAGAACAAAATGAAAGATCTTTGAATTGTTGTTGTTGTTGTTATGTGCCGTCGAGTCAGCGCTGACTCATAGCGACCCCTCCTTGGGTTTCCGAGGCAGTATCACTACGGAAGTAGGATTGCCCAACCTTCCTTCCGAGGAGTGGCTGGTGGGTTTGAACCGCCAGCCTTCTGGTTAGCAGATCTTTGAATACTCACCCTAATTTAAGGCTAGACTCCAGACGATAAAGCAAGCATACCTGATACAAAGATAGCTACATAATCTGGTATGTATAATTGTTGTGTAAATTCAGAAAAAGATTAAAATGTATATACACTCTATTGCAATGTCCAACTCCATATCAATGTTTAATTCATAGGTTCACAGAATGCAAATATAAGAACGTGGGGAAAAAAGATCATTTCACTCAAACTTTTTATTTTATAGACAAAAGAAAATCATCAGGTAAGAAAAAAATAGTATCTACAATTAAACACATCATCTAGAGCAAGGGTTAGCAAACTTTTTCTTTAAAGGACCAGAGAGTAGGTATTCTAGGCTTTGCTGACAAAATACAGTGTCTGTCACATATTCACTCAAAAACAGTGCAGTTTACCAACCTTTATCTAGACTGCCATACCACTGCATTAACAAATAATATACATGCAAAGGATATGTATCAATGTCACTTTAGACTTACACACAATCTTAAATTTATTTCTACCTTTAATCCAAAACATTCTTTCTAATAGTGCTTACTAGGTGAGCCCAGCTAAGACTGGATCTGAATTCAGGTAAAAATCAAAGATTAATTACAAAATATTTCTTAAAATAATTTAACATTACCTGACAATTTTCAAAATGAACAGCCACAATGAGCTTTCCTCCATAAAGTTTATCTTCTAAGTTTTCAAGGATGGACGGTTCATGCTCTGGTGGATATGTTTGCGTCAGCCAGTCCATCCAAGACAATCCTATAAGAGACTGAATTTTTTCCTCACTGAATTGGTGCATTTTTCTTCTGAATTCATTCACTTCAGGGTCCTTCAAGGCATCAAATTCATGCAGACCTAAAAATATTTTTTAAAGATGTCATTTTGAGTAGCTAATAATAAAAGAGAATATAAAATATATTCACAAAAATGAATTTGGATGTTTGGTTTTTATGAAGCAAATAAGACTTGGCAGAAAAATAACATGAAGGAGCAGAATAATAAATCTCATGTACAGAAGACAAACATACAGTTAGGTTTTTCAGAATACAAACTTGAAATATCTGAAAGAAATGTAGTTTCATTACCAGTTTTATAAAAATCATTGAAATTCACAGTACACACTTTAAAATGACAAAGAAAGCATCTATAATTTTTTCTTTACAAACCAAGTAAATCAAGTTTAAAGTATCTGGAAAAGGTTAAGAGTATGAAAATTTCAAATACCAAGTTAGAAGAAACCAATTACTTAAGTAACTTAACATTTAGTAAACTTAAACTTTATAGATTATGTTTTCAATTCATTTTCTTTTTAACACTACAGTATGTTATATGAATTCATCAAAAATCCATGAAGATATCTTTTTTTCTGGTATATTTAATTTTGAAGGAGTCCCGGTGGTATAATGGTTAATCTCCTGGCTCCTAATTGAAAGTTTGAACGATCAGCCACAGAAAAATGGGGCAGACTGCTTCTGTAAAAATTACAGCCTTGGAAACCAGTGAAGTAATTCTATTGCATCCTACAGAGTCACTACGAGTCAGAATCAACTCCATGGCAATGGATTTGTTTTTTTTCCCAGTTATACTTAATTTTGAACCACTTATATCATAAAGACAACTATATATTACAACTTTTTCATAAAATTATCATTATTCTAATAAGTAATTCTGGAAATGGATAACAATGAATAAATGATTACCCAAAAATATACACATCTAACATCAACCAAACTCCTTATTTCCCATCATCTACTACAAGTCATGTCTAATCGACTTCCTAAAATGTCTCTCAACTCTGTACACTTCTGTCAGTTCCTGCAGCCATTAACCTAATCCTGGCCATCATCATCCTTCCCTAGGATTACAGTATCATTTGTTCACTGATTTTCTACTATTTAATCTCGCCACTCCATTCTCTACCCTATGATATAAATCATATTTATAAAATACAAATCTGATCATGTTACTTTTCTATTTGAAAACCCTTCAGTGGTTTCCAAATGCTCTTAGAAGCAAGTCTCTATCTTTATATATATGGTCTAGAAGACTCTGTATGCTCTGGCCCTGGACACCTCTCTTACCTTCCTGCTAGCTAAGCTGTCCCCTTAAATCAAGCATAATGAATTTTATTTCTCGAATAGGCCATCCTTTACATATGCCCTTACCTTTTGCTTTCTTTTCAATTCCTTTCACCTGCCAAACTCCTAATCAACACTCAAGGCTCAGTTTATCTGTGTGTCCTTTAAAAGTCTCTCCCTGTCTCATGCACTTGATTCAGATGCCTTTCCTTGACTTATCACAGCAATTCACAAACTGCATTATAACTGTCAGTTTACTCACCCGTATCTACCACTGAACCATGAGATCCAAGCAGACAAGGAACACATCACTCAATTTCACATCTATAATCTCAAGTATAAGCATCCAATGTATACTCTTGAATTGCAATCACTATGATTTTGGTTATTTTTCCCAATATATAATAAATAAGGGACTCTGTTAAAAGCTCTGTCAGAATCACCTAAAACATACAAATTTCTTTACTTCACCCCACATTCATTGAATCTAAATCTCTAAGAATCTGCTTTTAAAGAAATTAGTGCAGCCCAAATTTGGGAACCACTAAAAAGATCTCTTAAAAATATAATTTTGCCCAAAATAATAATAATTTAGGTCAATTAATTTAATTTTAGACTTAATTT